TCCCTGTGTTGCCCTAGTAATTTGCTCCCAGCTTTTAATGAGTTTATGAAAGGGGGCATAGAATCCTCCACACTAACCACAGTGTTGCAATGAAACAACGCCACTTACTACTATTGACATGTCAGATCTGAGGTAGCCTTTGTTGCTGCCATGTCCTCCTATATATGGGGTTTTGGCTGGTAGTTTCATGTATGCTTGACTTCCCCTGTCACCAGTCTTGATCCCTTCTATCATCAGCAGTGCTCCACAGCTCATCTTTGTACTATGTTGGATGGAAATATCAATAAGCATAGGCCCATAGTAGATAGGGGTAAAGAACCCCTTTATGGGCCTGCCAACAGACAGACAAGGGACAGCCTTTCTTTTCTTGTTGCGGGAAACCCTTCATAAAGTCAGAGGTAGATAATAATGTATTGTGTATATGCAAATATGCAGCTCAAATAAAATCCTTTAAGAATCAGCTCAGAATCTATCTTTGATTACTGCCTGGCTAAATGTCTAGGCAGATGGTGACGTATAAAATTATATCATGAAGATCTACAGCTGAAAATGTGTTATTTGCTAGGTGACTGTTAATGTGAACATATATATATATATATAATCACAACAAATAGTATTTAATTAGAGATGAGTAAATGGGTTTGTATTCACAAATCAACACAATTGTTTCTAGCATTTACTGAAAAAAACATACTTTTTTCCTGGCATATCTAGTTGTTAGCAAACCTATTCTCATATGTTTTAGAAAACATCATCCAAGATTGTAGTCTTATTCTATTTCAAATTGGACAAAATCCAAGAAAGAATATCAGGTTAAATTTGGATTTATTTGTTGAGATTTTGGGAGCCTGCCTTTCAGGTGTACCATGATTAAGACAGGGATGTGAAACTGGCAGCCAGTCAGGCTTGTCGGCATTGACGCTACATTGACATTGCTCCAGAACCCAGGGGTGAAAACTTCGAATGCTATCTCCACTTGCTCCTTCCTACCCCTTTACCCAATCCCAATTTGGCATCTGCAGTTGCTCTTGGCAACTAAACTCAGCAGCAAGGGAAAACGGAGGGTAAGCAGCAATGGCGTTCAGCCCCTGGGTTTGGAGCCATGCCAACATAGTGGCTCTGGAGCCATGCTGACAAGCTGCCACCCTGCTGCCAGAGGGGTCAAATAAGCTGGATACCCCTAACTTAAGGCACTTAACACAGAGAAGTAAAAAATGTAATTGATTCTAATATTTAAATAATTTCTGATTTGAGAAAGATTTAATAGGCAATAAAGATGCTTATTAAATGTCTTTACAGTAACTAAAATTGGAGTTGAAATGTTAAAGTATTTCTGCTCATGTTTGCTTTTAATGAGTCAGCAGAACTGATTAGTCTTTACTTTTTATGTAATTTATCTCAGATGTTGCAGTAAAGTCAGACTCTTCTGCTTAAGTGAATTCAACTTTTCACTCATAGATCAGGCCATTGGGTATTGTTCCAGCCAGTTGTTCAAGTGTTGGTTGGTTGGTTGATATTTATGATTCCCACATCTGAGAAATCCACTTGGGCTCTTCAGGAATTAGCAAACTTTGTAGCTAGATATGTGTAGATTCTCATTTCAAACAGTTCTTAAGTGAGATTTGGATACTTAACAGCTTTCTTTCTCTAAGCTGAGATCTGTGATCAAACATTGTATTTTTGGCTCACTTAAGAAATACAAGTTTGACTCTTAATATTTTTACATGTTTGGTGTTACATGCTTTATTGTTTTCTTTTAATTTGCATTATGTGCATTATGACATTTCATAAACCTAGCTCTTCTGTTTCTTGCTGGACACATTTTCCCGACTGTCTCTTCTTATTTTTTCCCACTGCCTCTGTTTTTTTGGTGGTTCTCTTGATGGTTAGGAGATAACATTTTTCTACTGGCTGTAGGAGTCTCAAAATTATTTCTTTATATTTGCAATGATATTTTTCATTCAGTTGAGTTGTTTTCTCGGTCTGTTTGCCAGACTACCTTTCAAATCCCCAGTGGAGATTACTGGTCGGATTTTCAGAAGAATGCTACAATGGCCTCTTCCTGAAGGTTTTCATAAAACTCCTATTCCCATTAGTCATAACAGTTAGGACTATGCTCAATGCTTTTGGAAATCCCATCATATGAATGGCTAAACATTTTGGTCTTCTGAGCATGAATCCATTGGAAAATAAGGACACTGTTTCTTTTTTTAATATTATTGAAGTCTTTGGGCACATTTAGCAACACGCTTAGGCACACTGCCTGGACAGAGCAATCATAAACCTAGCTAAACTGGCATTTTGTGTTGGGTTTACATCTGCTTTGCATCACCAAGCAGCAGAAGCATACCAGTCATACATTTTGAAACAATATATCTGATTTCGTTGTTTTTATTTCTTCCAGCCATGGGAAAATGTGATTGTTGAATGAAAGTGAGGGCTCCAGCTGGTGTAAATTAGTTCAGCTTCATTGGAGCTCTTCCACCTTATACCAGTGTAGGATTTGTCCCAGAACAGTGATGCCAGAGTACTTCTCTTTTGCACAGCTGTTCAGTCTGCTGCCTTGAGGTAGCTTCTCTGCCATAGTTTCATTAGTATTGCACTAATAAATATTATAGTGTTGATGTCATTGTCAATTGTTTTTAAAAAGTCAGAAAAAATTATTGCAACAAATTGAATTAATTTATAATGTATTCTTCCAAGGGCAAAAATATGGCTGTTTGATTTGTGAACAATTATAGCAAAATTCTTTACCAGTGAAAGGGAAAGGGACAATAAAGAAAGAAAGAACAAAAGAAAGAAATAAAACATTCCCACTTTATTAGCATAGGCAAGGTTTCTAACTCATTGAATCAAATCCCCAGTGGGCATAAATTGGCATTGACTTCAATAGAACCATACCAGTTTATGCCAGTTGAGGATCTGACCCATTCTTCTTATCTAGCAGAAAGTCCCCTTTTCCTCTTGCCTGCATTTGCTCTCCCCTCTTTGGATATGTTTCTTTTCTTCTACCTTTTCTTCCTTCCTCTTTTTTTCAGTATAAGATAAGGAAAGGTGTTTTAAAGTTTGTATGTGTGCATTTTGTATCTCCCCTTGTATTTTGGTATTTTTATCTATTTGTGTGCCATGGCATTACTCTTGTAGCTTATATTTTATACTCCTCACCTTTCAACTAAATGTGTTTAGTTTCAGAAGTAAGTTATACATTGTAACAATGCTAACAAGGGCAGGAATCAAACTACTGCTTCCCTGTATCAGGTGGGCCCCTGAAAGAGCGAGTGAATCAGTGATTGAATGTGTAACACAGTAGCAGGCAGCAATTAACACCTAGGGAAACCGCAGATCAACCAACGGAAGAAATCAATAGAAGACAAGGTAGCAACCGGGAATTCTCTAAACATCACTGTTCAAGGGGGCTGACAGATCCCATCCAGTAACCACCGAGGGGCAAGTCCCACGAGGGTCAACAACCCCTGGATTGGGCAAACCTGAAAACTGGGGAGTTGCCAAAGTCTGCCAAGAACAGATAAAAAGCAGTGAAAAGTGACCCTCAGTGGCGCCCTCTTGATCTCCAACTTGACCAGCACCCAACCTGTCCAGCCAAAAGGACCAGCCGGCGACCCACTTCTGGAGGATAACACCACGCTGAAAGAAGCCTCGATGGCAGACTCCTGCGCCTGTGGGATAGATATACCTGACTCTTGTAGCTCGCTACTGTGTGTGTGCGTGTGCGTGTGTGTGTGTGTGTGTGTGTGTATGGGGACCAGCCCCAAGGTTTATGATTTAACTTCATTACAGTGTTTCAATCCGCCTAATAAACCAGAATTTTAAGGATCCCGAGTTGGACATTTGTAGCCAACACTTAGATACATTTGCTTATCTGTGGAATTAGAATGGTCAGTTCTGAGTTTCTACCATATTGTTGTAGACAATGTTAATACAGTAAATTAAAAAAAAAATCAGAATTTCAAAGATTTTTTCATTCAGGAATGAAAGTTCTAAGTCATGAAAATACAATACTGAAATCTATAGTAGGTTTTTTTGTTATGAACATTTCTGAGGAAGCATGGGTTACCTCCATTTTTCAAGGATAGCCTCAAAACTGAAACTGAAAATATAATTTTACTAAATCTTTTGTATGTACGTGTGTGTGTGTGTGCGCGCGCGCGCGCGCATGCATCATTGCTATAGCCTTATGTCTGTATTAATTCCATCTGGGGAAGATCCAGGTGGGGTTCACTGGTACACTTGTATCCTCCTTTAATTCCTGTTCCACCCAGAGTTTGAAAATCAACTGCTGGCAGTAGCAGCAACATTTCTAGTCAGGCAGTGCTGAGGGAGTCAGTTGATTTAATGGCCTATTATAATCTACCTGATCCCTTCTAAACTCTTCATTCCACAGGTGTTAATGACACTCTCTTCTTTTTAATGGTCTTAATGTTCCACCAATTAAGCAACTGTGCTGTCTGTTAGCTGCTCTTGGTAATTAAGCTCTTATGCCATAGCCCTGAAGATTATTTTTACCTCATTCCAATGAAGTTATATATATATTTTTGCTTTGATCTTAAAAATAATGCAGTCCTAGGCACTTAGCATATTAGTAAAGCTTATAGTTTATTTTCAACTGGAGAAAAATGTGTGTTGTTTTATATGTGATAATGCACCTCACCATCTGCATCCTCCTCTTTTCAACATTCTGGATCTACTCATGAATCCCATATATAAACATTTTAAATAATGCTCTAGTTCTGTAATGTACAATATGTGCAAGTACATTGTTGTGCCTGTAAAAATTCCTACTGAATGGTGTTGGGCTGTAAGATGGTGCAACTATACTAGCAAGTGGTAACTTTCATGGCCTAATGATCATAAAGAACCACTTAACTTCAAGAGTACAGATATATAACATTCATTTATGTAATTCTCTAAATGTTTTTTAAATCATATTAATTTAAGAAAGCTTTATATTACAATCCTTCCTGTTGCTTTTCTCATTACAGTGCTAGTAAAAAAAGGAGAAATAAGTACATTTGTAGGATTTATTAGTTCTGGATGCTGTAATATTTACAGAGAAGTTGAAGCACTTGTGAAACTACCATTGGGGAAAAGGGTGAGTCCATTAACATCTTGAAAAGTAAGCATTTTAATTGTTATTAACTTTATTGACAGGAACATGTAACTACATAACTGCAATTTGTAGTACGTATGGACACTTTGGATTCTGTTTTTACTTGTATAGGTACACTGGCCCTGTGCTTCCCTTCTAAGTATGTATGGCTGCCTCAACTGGCTATGTAAGCTCTGGGTCTCAAAACTTTAGTTGCAAAAACCCAACAACTAGTGTCTGAAGGGGAAAAATAGGAAACCTTCACACCTTTTATAGCCCAGTAGTCTTGTGGTTAGGGCACATGAGAATGAGGCCCCCTCTACACATTAGAGGCATCATGCAATTAGCTGGTTAATTGCATAATTATCTTAAGACCAGCTACACATACAAAGTACTTATCATATGAAAAAACCCTCCAACCAGCTATAAAGTTAGGCCTAAAAATGCGTGCTAACATTATTGCTGGTCGCTACCCAGCTTTAATTTGCATGTGCAGTAGGGGTGTACCATGGTCATCATGAAACCTCTGGGCCTGGGGATCGCAGCCGCCCTGATCCCCCAGCTAAGGGGTGCGTGGGGTGCCCCCACAGCTGGGAGCCCCTCAACTCCCAGTCATGGGAGCCTGTTTCTTGCCAGTGCAGGAGGAGCCCAATATTGGGATCCTCTTACACCAACAATAAGATGCAAAGGAAACTAATGGGCAATCCACATAATCATGCCTCCTGCCCTGCCACATATGTATGACAGGAGGCATGATTGTGTGGATTGTGTATTAGTTTCCATTGTGCCTTTACCTGCATGTGTAGAAGGTCCTGAGAGACCTAGGTAACATAGGCGACATGTAGGGGGACACAGGGGACCATGTGCCCTCCCTGAGATTGGCTGCCACCGAAGCTACTGCCAGCTTCTGCGGGCAGTCACCCCCACCTCTCCCCTTGCTGTCAAAGCAGCTGCCAGTGGTAGCAGGTGGTCCCCACTCACCATTGACACCACTGCGGCCGCCTGGCGGTGGTCCTTGCTTGGCCCACTCACACCACTGACATCACCGTGGCTGCCTGCGGGCAGTCCCCACTCACCACTGCCATGCCCCCAACACCAACACTGCCACTGCCACTGCCACCTGTGGTTACTTGCCGTGCCCCCCCACCCCAGTCTCAGGAGGCAGGCATTGTTCATGCTAGATGATAGGCTTCCCTTGCTTAGAGTGGGGTTTGAACTTTCATCTTTCACTTCCCCCAAAAAAGCTCTAAGCACAAGGTCAAGGAAGAGGTCCAGTATTCTCTGCAGCCCTCCCCTTGAAGCTGGCCCACTGGGGCAAGGAGTGGGAAAGTAAACCTGAGAAAGAGTGGCTTAGTGAAATGGACATTACAGTGGAAGGGAGGGGGTCCTGGATTTTGGCCCCAGTTCTGGCTCCTACAGTTTTTTCAGCACCTTGCATTCAGAACCTTTTAATTGGCAGCCAGGAGCATAGCCCAGCTATGTGGAGAGCAGTCAGGTCCAGCAGGTAAGTTTGTTGTGGGGAGAGGGGCTGAGGCTGGGGCTGTCCAGCTGGGACAGGGCACAGGACTGAGCAACGTGGGGAGGGATGGCTCCTGCAGCTGGGAACACCCTGGGAGGGCATGGGAGGCACATGCCCTCAGATCTGCGCAAAGGGCAGGCTGGGGCTGGGGCTGAAGGGTTGCTGGGCTCTTCCTGGTGCAGGGGGGCTGGGCTAGGCAGTTCTCAGGCCAGGTGGTGGCAGCACTGGGAGTAGGGCTGGGGAGCTATGGCAAATTTTGGGGTGGCTGCAGCCCTGCCATAGCCCCACTCCTGTAGGCCCCTGTGGTGAGGGAAGGAGTGGGGCTGGAGCAGGGGCAGGCACTGCCCAGCTGGGGCAGAGCGCAGGACAGCTGTGTGTGGCTTCTCTGTGGGGTGCAGTGGGTGGTGGCTAATACTGCTGCACACACCCTGGGAAGGGATGGGGGGACATGTGCCCACAGATCTGCACATGAGGCACAGCAGGCTGTGAGCCACTATGGGCTGGGGCCATGGCAACACCAAGCTGTTCCCAGTGATGGTGATGGGCCAGGCTGTGCTGGGAGTGCGGTATTGGGGGGGGGGGGCTGTGGTGAATTTTGGGGTGGCTGCAGCACTTCCCGTACCTTCCTCCCAGTGCCACCTGCCCCAACCACAGCCTGGCTCAGCCCCCACCAGGAACAGCCCAGTGCAGCCGCAGCCCACCCCACCCCACCGTGTGCAGATCTGGGGCCACGTGCCCCCAGTGCCCTCCTGGGGTGCATTCAGCAGTGGGATATGCCACACCCCCATGCCTCCCAGATTAGCCACTTGCACCTCTGTCCCATGCTCTGCCCTGCCCCTGCCCCAGCCCCACTTCCTCCCTCACCATGGGGGCCTGCAGGAGCAGGGCTATGGGGAGGGGCTGCAGCCACTCCAACTGTTCCCCCAGTTGCACTGCTTACCCCAGTGCAGCCTGTCCATACCCCACCGGGAACAGCCCAGTGCCCCACCCCACAGCAGCACCCTGCTCACTCCCCGTGTGCAGATCTGGGGGCACACTCCTCCCATGCCTTCCCAGGGTGTGTAAACTGATGGGATCTGCCCCCCCCCCACAGCTCAGTCCTGCACCCCACCTTGGCTGGGCAGCCCCTGTCCCAGAGCCACTCCTTCCCCGCCCCTGGGGCCTCAGTCTGCCCCCCTCCCCCCCACAGCAGCAGCCCACCCCTCCCTGTGCAGATCCTGGGGCATATCTCCCATATGCCCTTCCAGGGTATGTGCAGCAGCAGAAGCCATCCCCCCCCACCCCACACACCCTCTGGATGAACCACTCACAGCTCTGTCACGTGCTCCTCCACATCCCAGCTGAGCAGCACTTGCCTCTGCCCCACTCCCTTCCTCACTGCAGGGCCTTGATCTGCACCCCCCCCCACCTTAAAAACAAGAAAAAACTACAAAGGGGTACATGATTTGAAATTTTGATATACAAGGGATACCGTTGTTAAAAAAGGTTGAAAACCCCTGACATAAAGTAATCAAATCCTGGTTTTTAAATCATGATTTTTTAATGCTCTGCTATTCCTCTATTAGTGTGTATGTATGATTTTAACTAGAAAATCAGGTTCAGTTACACAAAGACAAAAGTGTCAGTCACAGGGCTCAAGTGCCTATACACTAATGCTAGGAGTATGGGGAGCAAGCAGGATGAACTAGCACTCCTGCTTGCAGAAAACACATACGACTTAGTGGGGTTAACAGAAACATGGTGGGACTCTACCCATGACTGGGCATTACACATTGAGGGCTATAAGCTGTACAGAAAGGATAGAGTGGAGAAGAGAGGGGGAGAGGTTGTGCTCTATGTCAAGGAGCATTATACATCGACCCTTATCAAAATGGAATCGGAGGAGGAGAAAGTAGAAGGATTGTGGGCTAAGATACATGGAGATCAAGGAGAAAGGGATTTGGTGGTAGGGGTCTGCTACAGACCCCCACACCAAGGGGAAGAACTAGATTTGGAGCTCCTGAGGCAGATCTTGGAGACCATAAAGACTAGGGATGCAGTAGTCATGGGGGACCTAAACTACCCTGACATCTGTTGGGAGACACAGACAGCAAATTCCCACCATTCACGCAGGTTCCTATTCTGTGTACAGGACCTCCACCTGACACAGGAGGTACATGGTCCCACTAGGGGGAATGCCTTACTGGACCTGGTATTGGCAACAGGGGAGGACATGGTAGGGGACCTACAGATCAGCAGTCACCTGGGGGCAGTGACCACCAAATAATAGAATTCATCATAAGGCGTAGAGTGGGTAAGGTAACTAGTAGGGTGGAAGTGCTAGACTTTAGGAAGGCTGACTTCAGTAAACTCAGGCGTTTAGTCAATGATGCACTGCAGAGTAAGAGATTTAGTGAGGTGGGAGCCCAGGAAGGGTGGCTGTGCCTTAAAGAAACTATCCTTCGGGCACAGAGGGAGATGATCCTGATGTGGGGGGAAAGGGGCCAAGAGGCTTCCTTGGCTGACCAGAGAAATCCAGAGCAGCCTAAGGGCAAAAAGGGGGGCATATAAGCAGTGGAAACAGGGAGAGATTACTATACCTTCTCAGCTTGCAGTTGTAGGGAGGCAGTTAGAAAGGCCAAAGCTGCCATGGAGCTGAGTATGGCATCCCAAGTTAAGGAGAACAAAAAATTGTTTTTCAGATATATAGGGAGTAAAAGGAAGGCTAAGGGCAGAATAGGAGCACTACTGAATGGGCAAAAGCAATTGGTGACAGACAGGAGGGACAAGGCTGAACTCCTCAATGAGTTCTTTGCCTCAGTGTTCCTAAATGACGGGCAAAACAAGTCTCACAATAGGATTGTAGAGAGGCAACAGCAGGGTGCCAGACTACCAAGCGTTGACCCTGAGATATTGCAGAGTCACTTGGAAGGACTGGATGCGTTTAAGTGGGCAGGCCTGGACGCGCTCCATCCGAGGGTACTAAAGGCACTGGCTGATGTCATTGCACAGCCACTGGCAAGAATATTTGAGCACTCGTGGTGCACGGGCCAGGTACTGGAGGACTGGAAAAGGGCCAATGTGGTCCCTATTTTCAAGAAGGGGAGGAAGGAGGATTCAGGCAACTATAGGCCAGTCAGTCTCACCTCCTTCCTTGGCAAAGTCATTGAAAAGATTATTAAGTCTCATATATGTGAGAGCCCGGCAGGAAAAATTATGCTGAGGGGAAACCAGCACGGGTTTGTAGCAGGTAGATTGTGCCTGACTAATCTAGTCTCTTTTTATGACCAGGTTACAAAACACCTGAAAGCAGGAGTAAGGGTAGATATCGTTTACTTAGACTTCAGGAAGGCCTTTGATATGGTATCCCACCCATACTGGTGAACAAGTTAAGAGGCTGTGACTTGGATGATTACACAGTCTGGTGGGTGGCAAATTGGCTAGAGGGTCGTAACCAGAAAGTGGTGGTGGATGGGTCGGTATCGACCTGGTAGGATGTGGGCAG